TCTCTCTTTTTTTCCCCCCCCTTGAAAGTCTGTTTTAATTGACCCATTGCCATAGTGCTTGTCAAAACCAGTTCTGAAAAGTAAGCTTTTTGTAACCTAATCTCAAAGGACTTTGCATTACTTTTATTTGTTAGAGGGTCCAGGGGTAGGAGTTAGATAAGGACATAGATATCAGGAGGGAAGATTATTAGGGACCATTTAAGACGCTGATTACCACCATGCATAAGAGCACCATTGATTTTGCTGAGCTGTGGCACACAGACATTGGCTACACAATTGGAATAGTTTTTTTTGTTTTTTTTAATGTGTGTTACCATCAAATTGGATCTGACTGGTACAGGAGGCAATTGTTCCTCCTTCTTCAGCAGAGCATCTGGTGGATTTGAACCGCGCACCTCTGGGATCGCAGGGCAGTTTCCTGCCACTAGGCCACCAGAGCTCACCTACAATTGGAATAGTTTTAAAGCACAGCTATACAGAGGTAATTCGTGGTTACTGTACTAAACATTGTGACACTGACGTGTCAAATGCAATAATGGTTAACCATGGTGGACAGTGTTTGATGGAGCTCTCAGATCAAAATAGGCTTGGAAGCAGGAGTGGCATCCATTTCCGAAATAGCTTGCCTCCGGAAACTGTATGAACTTAGAGAAATGATGAAAGTTATACAAGTGTTCAGGTCTTTCGTTCATAGGGTTGCTATGAGTCATCTATGACTCGATGGCACTTAACATACATCATCTAGTGAGAGCTGACTGTAGCTCTATGTTGCAGTTCACTCTATGTTCTAATACCTGTTTATGCTTAGGAAGCACACCTAATGTCAATTTAGAAATCCGTTCATTTAGAAATTATTCCCGCCCTCCCCCTATACTATTCAGAAAGCAAACAATACAGTTGGCAGGACTTACCTTAAAAGTGTTTTCCTTAAATTAGTACTTGCATAGGAAGCAATTGAAAAGACCATAACTTGGGTCAGGTGTACCTTTAGTCTTTAAACGGACATCCTTGGTCTTTAGAACTTTGGAGAAGACATTTGACAGCAGATTTCTTTTTAATTTTTTTTATTATTTTAATGGAAGTTTACAGAGACTCAGGATTTCCATTCATTCATTGTTGCACTTTTCTCCCTGCCCACCCCTCCCTCCCCCCAATTCTCTCTTCTCTTTGAAAAATAAAAGAAAAATTATTTCATTGTTATACAATCCCTCCCCCCAAGTCCACTCCACTATGCAGCCTTCATTCTGGACTCCTGTCGTGACAATAATACCTAATCACATATCGCTTTTAAACTGTTTTCTCCCTTATCTGTTTCAATGCAGTATACATTATTCTATCTTTCTCAGTCTCCTCCCAAGCCCGATGTCAGTCCTGTTTTACAAAAGTTGCACTATGCAGTATTTGTCCTTTTGTAACTGAGATATTTCACTCAGCATAATGTCCTCCAGGGTCACTCATTTTGAATAATATTGCATAAGTTTCTTGTTTTTCAGTGCAGTGTAGTATTCCATTGTGTGAATATACCACAGCTTCTCTATCCATTAATTTGCTGATGGGCACTTAGGTTGTTTCCAGCTCCTTGCTATTGTGAACAAAGCCGTGATAAACATGGGTGTGCATATATCTGCTTGGATGTCAGTTATGGTCTCTTTGGGGTATATTCCCAGTAGTGGAATTGCTGGGTCAAATGGTATCTCTATTTGCAACTTTTTGAGAAAGCGCCATACCGCCTTCCATAGTGGTTACACCATTTTACACTCCCACCAACAGTGAATAAGGGTTCCAGTTTCTCCACAACCTCACCAGCATTTGTTGCTTGCTGTTCTGTTAAATTTTGCTATTCTTCTTGGGGTGAGATGGTATCTCATAGTTGTTTTGATTTGCATCTCTCTTAGAGGTAGGGATTTTGAACATTTCTTCATGTGCTTGTTGGCCATCTGAATGTCTTTGGTGAAGTGTCTGTTCATATCCTGTGTCCATTTTTCAATTGGATTGATTACCTTTATTTGTTGTGGTGCTCAAATATTTTGTAAATTCTAGATATAAGTCCCTTATCTGATATGTCATTACCAAATACTTTTTCCCAATCTGTGGCTTCCGTTTTTACCCTGTTGGAGAAGTTTTTGGATGTGCATAGCAGATTTCTTTATATATGACACTTTTTTTTTTAATTTCTCTACTGCTTCTACCACAGGCATTGCTTGTAGATCCATGTAAAATGAAATAATTGTTCAATATTTCCTCCTTCTATTACAATATAAGTCATAGTGGACTTGATGACACTAACAACAACAAATAAGTACTTGACATTGAAAGTTCGGTTAGACGCCTACTAAATATTAAAAAGTCAAGAGTCACTGCTTTCGAGTTGAGCCTGACTCAGAGTGACCCTGTGTACAACAGAATGAAACACTGCCCAGGCTGCACCATCCTTACAGTCACCACTGTACTTGAACCCATTGTTGCGGCTGCAGTGTCAGTCCATCTGCAAAATGTTCTTTTTCAGTGACCTTTTATTTTACCAGGCATAATCTCTCTCTGCAGACTAGTTCCTTCTAAAACTGCGCCCAAAGTTGTTGTTGTTGTTATGTGCCATCAAGTCACCTGCGACCCATAGTGATTCTAGGTACAGCAACTCTGCACCCTACCCTGTCCTGAGCCAGTCTCATTGATTCTGACACAATAATCCCCAATTACCCCAGTTACTATATCAATCCATCTCATCTGGGATCTTCCTCTCCTGCGCCCAGAGATGTTGTTGTCATTGTCGTATGTGCCGTTGAGTTGCTTGCGACTCCTAGTGACCCTTTGTACAACAGCCCTGAAACTCTATCCTGTGCCAGCTTTACTGTCTCTGACACACTTTCCCCCATTACCCCAGTCACTGTATCATTCCATCTCATCACTGGTCTCCCTCTCTTTCTCTGTCCCTCTGCCCTTCCAAGCACGATGTCCCTCTCCAAGGACTGGTCTTTCTTTGCAACACGCCCAGAGTATGTCAGATGAAGCCTCAAAATCCTTGCCTCCAAGGAGCAGCCTGGCTTCACCCTCTCTAGTACGAACCTGTTTATTCTCCTGGCACTCCGTGGTATATTCAACTCTCCTCTCCAGCACCACAGCTCAAAGTTATCTTTCTGTCATCCCTAGTCATTGTCCAGCCTTCTGAAGCATAGCAAGGAGTTGCAAAGACTATGGCCTGGATCAGGTGCACCTTAATCTCCAGACTGATGTCTTTGCTCTTCACTAGTCTGGAGAGGTCCCTGACAGCTAACTTTGCCAATGCAGTTGAGCATTCTGGTGGCCTAGTGGAAAGAAGCCTTGCTGAGATACTGCAGTCATGTTGTTTGAGGCCACCAGCTGCAGAATGATGGACAGTCTTCTCCTGTGTGATTAACTGCCTCTGAAAACCCGCTGTAGGGTCAGCGCTCTGTGTGTGTGTGTGTGTGTGTGTGTGTGTGTGTGTATTCCACAGTCTTCATTACTCCTGGAAAATTTCTTCCAATAACTCTTCCACAACTTTTTTGGTGCACCCAAAGTATGTGAGACTAATCTTAGTATCCTTGCTTCTAAGGAGGACTCTAGCTGTACTTCTTCCAGATCAGATTTATTTTTTAGGCATCCATTGGTTCATTCAATATTCTTTACCAACACAGTTCAAAGGCTTTAATTCTTTGGCCTTATTTGCTCATAGTCCAACCTCACATAACATGATTCAGGTCATACACATTTTAGTCCTTAAAATCCTCTTTAGCACACTGCAGATTTGCCCAGTATGTGTGGTTTCTTTACTGCTGTGTCCATTAGCATTGATTATGGATCCAAGTAAAATGAAATAGACAGTTTGAATCCTTTCTTCACTTACTGTTGTGGACGAGTTGTGAGGATTGCTTTTTTCTTAATGACATTTAAAACCTATAGACTGTAATAAAAGGTTGGATTTATGGTTTGCTTATGGTTCTGCTTTCTAAGGAATTTACCGTGTTACCATTGGACAGTACTGGTTCACTGGTGGAGTTTTTGCTGTCTGTACAGAGGACTAAGGTTTGAATCCAGGCCAGTGCATTTCAGATGTAGCCATCACTTTGTCTTTCAGTGGAAGATTTCATGCTACTTTGATGTTGATCATAGACTGTATAGTCATAGCATGCACTAGGGAGCTCTAGTAGTAAGCTCTTAGTGGTAAGTAGTTGCACTTTCAACCCAAAGGCATACTGTTCAAATCTACCAGCTGGTCCTTGGTAGAGAGATGAACAGTCACCTCCCCTGTGACTTACATCCTTTGAAAACCCACTGGAGGGTCAGTTATGAGTCAGTTCCTTCTCAATAGTGTATAACAACAATGATGTATAACAAGTTTCAGGGGAGTTTCCATATTATTATGAACTAAGAAGAGAAGATTGGTGAACAGCTTCCAAGAGTCAGCCAATAAAATCACGAGGATGACAACAGGACTGGGTAGCATTTTGTTCTGTTGAGCCTGGGGTTGCTGTGAATTGAGTGCTGCTTGAGTGGCAGCTAACAACAATCTCTGCTTTTTAAAGTCTTTAAAATGTGAAAGCTTGAGAATCTAGTCTGTGATGTAGACCAAATTTTTAAAGAAAGAAACTAATTTTCTTTGCTGCTTGAACACTTCTCTCCCCGCTTTTGATAAAAATGTAACTTTTGTTGTGTATTTTCTTTTGTTTGAAATCTTAACTGAAAGGAACTTCTTTGGTGTTGGTTTTTGGGTTTGTTTGTTTTTTTTAAATTACAAATGAGGTATAATTTATGTAACAAGAAACAGACAAAACTAAACTATAAAATTTAGTAACTTTGTGTTTTAAAATAATTTATAAAAGACATTTGTTTATCATGTATATTTTAATGTATTGGTTTTTCTTCTCCCCAATACATTTTACTTAAGTTCATGATTATCTTGCTATTTAGTGGTATAGTTTGATTACTTATCTAGGTTAGTCTGTATGTAAATGAGTTTTTTAACAGCGGTGTCTTTAACACAGGAATCTTACCCATCTTGTTCACCAATATGGTTTGTGGACTCCGATGACCCAAATTTGACGTCAGTTCTGGAACATCTAGAAGATACTAAAAACAACAATTCGGTGAGAAAATAAGCCAAACGTTTCCCCCCCATCACTGACATTGTAGAAACTGTGCTCATGTCATATGATGTAAAAACTTGAGTAATAATTAGAGGCACTAGAAACCAGGTTTATTTTTCAGATTCTCTATTGCATATTTACATATTACCAGATTTCTTATTTTTATTCCACATAGTCGTAGCCTTAATTAAGATTAGAAATTAGTCTCTCTCCCTGAATTCTAACCATTAAAACAAGGAATTGCTTTCTGTAAGGATCACAGTGGAGGAGCCAAAGGGAATACATGTGATGACAGAATTACACCTGTGCTGGTGTTAGGGAATTACTTTTTATGTTAAGGATTCATAAGGGTACAGTAATAAATAACTAAAGATAGTAGGGAATTTTTTAAAATGTTAAGAAATACAGCTCTCCACTCTACAAATATAAAAAACCCCTCCCACTTTGATTATGAAACTGATAAATGACTATGATAAGAAAACTAGTAAAACATGGGGGGGGAAGTAAAAAGAAAAGATTTTCCTATTTAATATAATCACTGCTGATATAGTTCTTTTCTACTGGTATCTTTTGTTTCTTTCTCAGCTAATAAAATATATACAGTTTTAGGACACAAACATAATGTACTTGACTACTAACTAAGAGGTTGAAAGGTTTAAAGCCACCCAGAAGCACCTCAGAGGAACGGATTGGTGATCAACCTTCCAAACACCAGCCATTGAAAACCCTGTGAGGCATAATTCTGCTGTTACACAGGGGCTCTTGTGAATCGTTTGACTCAGCAGTAACTGGCCTAACTTCAGACCTATAATTCAGTGGTTGAGATCATATTCTACTTAGGTGTATATCTTTTGTTGTTGTATATTTTTAAAAAGCTAACCTTGTCATTGTATTGTCCTACAATGTCATGAAATTCTTACAGAAAAGTATGTTACTTATGAGTGATGTGATTGCTTATCTAAAAATTCCAAAGGAGTCCTTTGAGAAAACACTCTTTAAGATGGCTGGCTAAAGGGTATAGTATATAAAATCAATAGCTTACCTAAATATAAACTATAATTAGAAAATATACTATAAAATAACCTTTTCAGCAATAAATAACAACAAAAGTATGCAGGACTTGGATCAAGAGGTGTGTTAAAATGTTTTTTGTTGTAGTATGGTCAGGTTCCCTATTGTTACTATGTCAGTTATCTCTGTATCACCACATTTATTTAAAACAATTCCATAAAAATCCCAATGGATTTTTGGAATTTGACAAAATGATTTTTGTGTTGGAATAGTACATGTTGTTGTTATGTGCGCTTTGTAGCTGTTGCTTGCTTTTAGGGGAATTGCTGCAAAAGGTGTAAAATACTAGTTTCATAATAAAAATGAGTGGACTATGACCTCAAGTATTTTAACTAGTTTTATATTGGAAGCATTCCTTTTAAAAATTGATCCTTTATATAAAATAAAGTTAAATAAAATATGGAATTGACCCTATTCTTGTAAATATTAAGTGTGTGTGTGTGTGTGTGTGTATTTATATATATATGTGAGGGGGGAATTGTACCCTCTGTACTTATTTCAGCCACTTATTTTATAGCCTAGGCTCTTTAGAGTGAACAAGCTGTATTTTCTCTCTTTAAATTCACTTGATTTACTGTAATCTGGATTCTCTGCCTTCATTGTGTCACAGTTTTTGATTCCTTAGTTGCCAAATCCGGTAGCTCCTCATTTAGTGGTCAGATTGGCCTCTCTGTTGCATTCTGATATTCTTGATTAGTTCCTTTTGAATACAATTCATGTTAAGTATCAGTAAAGAGATGACGAAATAAAATTATTGTGTATAGTTTTGTGATACCGTAGTACCTTGCAGGTAAAAAATGCATTTGATCTTTCTGTAAAAGCACATAAAATTTTCCGTAAGTTTACAAGAAAAATAGCAGAGCATAGAATATTATGCTTAGTCTTAACTCTTTTGTATACAGTGTTGTAAGAAACAATCTTTATCTGTATAAGCACACAAAAGTTCTAAGACAATTTTCTAAATAAAATAGCAAAGTGTAGAATATTAAATATAGTCTGATCCTTTTTGTATTCAATGTTATAAAAAAAGAACATGAAATATGTACGCTATGCTGGTGTGTATGTGTGTATATAAATATATTTTCTCCCCCTCCTCCCACTGGGATACAGAAAACTTACCAGTAAAATATATAAAGGGTTTCTTGTTATTAAAGATTCTTTTTTAAATGACTGGCTTCTATCCAGGTTCTGTGGTGAGTGTAAAGAAAAAATAAGGCATATCCCTGCCCTTTTGGAATTGATCAGGTCATGGAGACTTGATCTCTGTTTTCTTGTTTTTAATCTTTTATTACCCTGTTTTGATATCCTCTGAGCTCTTCTTTCTTCTTCCACCTGTTTCTTCTCTTCTCATTTCAGTACTTACATTGAGTAATCTCTCTAATCCCATTACTTAAGTCATGACCTCAATTCCAGGATTTCTAAATCTGTATCTCTAGTTAAAATTTATCTCCTCAGTTTCACATCTTTATTATCTGTTTCCTGAAATCTCACTTGATGTGCCATGGGTGTTCAGAATAATTTTCTAAATTTAGACTCATCTGCCTCCAGATATAACAAACCTCCCCTGCCCCCTAAAATGATGTTTCTCCATTATAATTCTCTTTATAATGGTGCATTGAAAGTAAAATAATTAAGCCGGTCACCCAAACTTGAAATCTTTAACTATTGACTTAGTAAGAGTTCATTTTTTATACCACTATTTCTCAAAATCCCTAAACTGTCCATCTACTTTCTAAATATTTCTTAAATCCTTTCCCATGGTCTTAGTTGTTCCCCTAATGTTCAAACATTTTTATTTTACTTTTTTTTAATTTTTTTGTGTAAAATTGAGATTCCTGGAAAAGATACTACTCTGTTCTTTTATTTGGTAGGACTCTCACACCAGCCTCTCCTACAACACTCGTAGTCTCTCCTGTCAGAATATCTGAGCAAGGTCCAGATCACTCAGCCTCTCTATATTTTGTGCTTAGCTCAAGGTAGATTATTGGATGGATAACAAATTCACAGTGAGACTTTATTTCCTTGAAGTGTAAAGATTTTTGTTTCATCCAATTTAACTTCGCAGTATTTCTAATTTCTCTTTGCTCTTCTCTTTGGAAAGTTTTATTCTTTGCTTTCTTTAACCCATTCTGATCTTGTCTTCATGGTTCTCCATAAACTTGGTTTTTATTTCCCTCTTTTCTTGACCAAATTATGTTAAGTTGCTTTACTTGCTCCTGTTCAGATATACTGAGTATTAACCATTCTTTGTTAAATTCCCAAGTAGGCATATTGGAAAAAGAAATTGAAACAATGAAAAACATGATTATGTACATACTTTGTTTTAAGTAAATATACTAGATAACGACAAAAATCTAGATCTGAAAATGGAAATTTAAAAAGTAATTCTTTGTAACTTTCCTGGTAAGATTTTTGTTTGAATAATAAAGTACCTGAAGATTAAGTGTTTCATAGGTTTAAGTTAATCATTACAATTTTCAGGTCCTTGTTTTACAAATAAGGAGCCTCAAACCTGAGGAATAAGATATATATTTAGGATCATCTAGATTACAGGGTGCTGTCTACTAGACTGCATTTACCTCTCTACTTTGGCTATGACTGTGGAATGTGTAGGTCTCTAACAACACTGCCTTTTTTTGTTGTTGTCCCATTAATGCATTAATGTGCTGTTTTAAAGATTTATTTTTCTGTAGATCACGATTAAGCAGTTAAACTTTTTCCCCATTTCCTGCTGGATTGAATACAGTAGTTTTAGCATTATTCATGTCTTCTAAGGGCTCTTTAATACAATGCTTATTTACTGAAATGTGTTTTGTAGCTTCGTCAGCAATTGAAGTGGTTGATATGTGAACTCTGCAGATTATATAACCTTCCTAAGCACCTGGATGTTGAGATGCTAGATCAACCACTACCCACGGGTCAGGTAAAGTAAAAATTCTCCAGTGTTCAAGAGTTAAGATAAATTTTCTCAAGCAAAAATGAACCTAGGATGATTTCCTTTTTTGTCATATAATTTGTTTAGAAACTATGTGCTAGTACTTAGACTCTTAGTTTTTGTGTTTGTATTGAGAACAGTTATAAGTACTAGAAATAAACCTTTCTTCTTTGGAGCAATTTGCTAGTTCTTTACTATGATAGGCAAAAATTGCCTCTCCTTTTCATCATTACTATTTTGTTGTTAATATTCCCGGTTTCTACATATTGTTCCTTCAGTTGTCTCTGCTCTTTCATATGCCTTTTACGTGGAATGCTGTCTCCTCAATTCCAACAGAAATTCTTAGGGTATCCTCCAGTTATTATCTCATCTAGAAGTGTCTACTGGCTCACGACCACTCCTTGGTTAAAAAGTAATCTCTTTCTGCGAATTCCTAAGTGTTCTAACTTTTCTTCTCTTGTGTCCCTTATGTCCATTCCTTTCACTTTCACTCCAGTTGTTTTGCTGAGGCTGTACATCCGTAGGAAAGACTGCCTATCTTTCTTCCATGGAATGGCTAGTGGATTCAAACTGCCAGCCCTTTGATTAACAGTTGGATGCATTACACACTAAACCATAATGGCACCTTAATGTTTATTTACTTTTGAATACGGAAGTGAGGGAAAATCAGTATTAAAGCAGATGGTTGCACAAGTCTAATTTTATTTAAAGATATAAATTGCCTTTATTATTCTCTGGTCCTGCACCATCTCATAGTCACTTTTGTGTTTGTGCTGATTGTTGTACCTCTGTGTCAATCCATTTCACTGAGGTCTTTCTTTCAGTGATTTTATGTTAACTGAATACAACATTAGCTTAACAGTAGCCACACCCAAAAGTTCTACCCCGTATTCTCTAGAGATTCTGCTTTAATTGGGTAGTGTGCAGTAGGGCCTGAGGATAGAATTTATTTTTATTTATTTATTTTTTAAAGAGCACGTTTTAAATGGTTCCAATATTCACTAGTTGCTCCACAAGAGAAAGACAGTCTCCTGACAGCTGAAGGGTTAGCTGTGGGTCAGTTCCAACTGGATGGTACACAACAATATATAGTTATAGGGAGCTCTGGTAATGTAGGGGAAACTCTTGTGATGGAGTGGACGCTGGTGAGGAGTTGTCTGCTAACCCAAAGGTGATGCCTTTGGCAATTTGAGTCCACCATCTCTTTTGTAGGACAAAGAAGGACAGTCTCCTCTCACTCTATTTACAGCCTCTGAAAATCTGCTGGAGGGTCATCTATGAGTTAGTTCTGACTCAACTGACAGTGAGATTTTTGAGTTGATATGTAGTTAAGGTTGAGAACCTTTACTGTAGACCATTGATTTGAGGCTGCTAATAGTCCTCCTGAAACCTACAATACTTTGGAATGGACTAATTATCTAATTTCTTAGGAATGAAAGACCATTTAATGAGTCTGTAGGCTGCAGTAGATTCTCCCACCTTTATTGCAGGTTATTTGTCATGATCCCTCCCCCCATCCTAGGGAAAAGACCATCTCAGGGCACATATTTTCCAAAAATTGTTTTATAGCTTTATTTTTAAAATTTTCTTTTTCAAAAAAATATTAGAGACATTGTTAAATCCAATAATGCTGTAAGATTTGTTGTTGTTGTTATGTGCCATCGAGTCGCTTGCAACTCATAGCGACCCTATGTATAAGATCTCTAAATGCTGTTCTATCCTGTGCCAACCTAGCCATCTCAAATGCACTTATTCCCACCGCTCCAGTCACAGAATCGATCCATCTCACCAAAGGTCTTCCTTTCCTTCGCTGCCCCTCCACTCTGCCAAACATGATGTCCCTCTCCAAGGACCAGTCCCTCCTTGCAACATGCCCAAAATATGTCAGACAAAGCTTCAGAATCCTTGACTCCAGGGAACACTCTGGCTTCACCCTCTCCAGGACAAACCTGTTTGTTCTCCTAGCAGTCCATGGTATATTCAACACTCTTCTCCGTCACCACAGCTCGAAGGCATTAATCCTCTTTCTGTCAACCCTATTCACTGTCCAACTCTCTGATGCATAGCACATAATTGTGAAGACTATAGCCCAGATCAGGCTCACCTTAGTCTCCAGCCTGACATTGTTGCTCTTCAGTACTCTTGAGAGGTCCCTCACAGCAGACTTTCCCAATGCAATTCGTCTCCTGATTTCCTGGCTGCTGTTACCAAGAGTGTTGACTGTGGAGCCAAGTAAATTAAAACTGTAATTGCTTGAGCCTCCCTTGTTCCTTCAAGTGAATAATTTGAACTCATACAGCCTTTTTGTGTGTGTATATGGGGGTAATTTTTATATTTCTAGATAAAGTCTCTCTGGATTTACCTATTTAGGCATGATTTATGAACTTTTTACTGTAGTAGATGACAATTTAGCTCTTCTAAACCCACTTACCAACCCATCATCCCTCTCAGTCTACTCAAAACATTTTTAGCCATGTGAAGAATCACTGTTTATCCTAGGATGTGGTAGTGCAGAGTCAACTTTCTTTTTTTATACAGATTTTTTTGCTTTGAAATTTCTTGTTTATAATCTGAGTTTAAAAAGTTTTGTACCATCTCTTTTCTGTGATACCTCCCTCTGTAGCTTTTCATTCTTCTGCACTAGCCTTTGTAGGTTCTTTTCTGAGTGGTACAACTCTTCATATTTCTGTTGTTTGACGTAGTGGTTATCTTTGGACACTAAGTTTTAAGAGCTTGCTCTTATTTTTTTTATTCTTCACATATTGACTTTTGTTCTTATATATAAAATATTCTAAAGACTCTTTAAAGGGTTATTTTAACAATCTTTTGTTCCATCCCTTTCTTATGTATTTCTAATATGTTCCTTCTTAGACCCTCAACGAGATGGATTGACACAGTGACTGCAGCAGTGGGCTCAAGCATGAGAGATGATGAGGATGGCACATGATAGGTCAAGGATCAGATCTGTTGTTCTTAGAATCAGGTCACTATGAGTCATACTCAGTGGCACCTAACAACAACAGTGTATTTTAGTTGTTTATTTCTTTTGAAAACTTTCCTTAAGTGTCTATTCTTTGTTTATTTGTATGTATATATATATATATATATGTATATGTGTGTGTGTGTGTGTGTGTGTATATATATATATGTGTGTGTGTGTGTGTGTGTGTAAAAATTTTACCCCCTGTTCATATTTGTGTGAGGTCCTTAATAAGAAGCTGGGAATTGTCACTTCCTCTATTGCGTGGCACAATAATAAATGATGGCTGAAATGGCTTAATAACTTTGGAGTTGAAACCATACAATTTCTTGCCTGAATGTAGATATTATGTCAGCCTGAATTCTGCTCCAGAGTTAGGGGAGAACATGTGTTTATGAGCTGGACAATGTAGTATATTCTGTATAAAGACATTTCAGTTTTATCCACTCTGCTTATCTTCACTGTACTTTGTATTGTGACGTCCAGAGCCACTCCAGGGTGCTGTGTGTGGTACATATTAGTCTTCTCATTATTTGTATGCCTCCAATCTAAGGGTTTACTTGCTTTTTTATTGTTGTTACGTACTGTCACATTGAAATCAACTCATAGCTGACCTTCTAGTGGGTTTTCAGAGGCAGTAAATTGCACGAGTCTTTCTCCTACAGAGTAGCTGGTTGACTCAAACCATACGGTTTTGCTTGGCAGCACAACTCCTTACTACTAAGCCACTAGAGCTCCCTACTCCAGTGGTTACCATCCCACCCCTCTAGTTTCAGTTTTCTTTTGTGAATTCTCTTTCCTCCTGGTAACTTTATTTCTTTTTTTTGTTATCATTGTGTATGTGTACAATATTTTTCACTGAAATTCTAATAGAGCCTCAGGAAAGAGAAGATTCAGTTTTTCAACTTTTTCTGGATTACTTTTGACTTTTTTTTTTAACTTAACAATACATCACAGATATAATATATACAGATCTGAACTACTGAGCATAACATTTCATTTTGGGTTTAGTATACCAAACTTGATTGTGCTTATGTGAAAACTATACTTGGACCAGGAAGCAGTCCTCAGAACTGAGCAGGGCAACACTGCATGGTTCAAAATCAGGAAGGGAGTACAACAAGGATGCGTTCTGTCTCCATACCTTTTCAATCTATATGCAGAAGAGATCATTCAGGAGGTTGGGCTTTATTTATGAGGAGGAATGTAGTGTCAGGATTGAAGGAAGAGTCATCAACAGCCTACGTTATGCAGATGGCACAACCTTGCTTGCTGAAACAGAGCCAGACCTGAAGCACTTGCCGCAGAAGGTCAAGACTGTAATCTTCAATATGGATTGAAGCTCATCATCAAGAAGACAAAGTTTCTCACCACTGTGCCAGTTGGCAGCACCATGATGAATAGAGAAGAGGTTGAGGTTGTTAACAGATAACAGTTTGCTCTGCTCCACATTCAACACTTTTGGCAGCAACAGTCAGGAAATCAAGACATATTACATTGGGTAAATCTGCTGTCATGGATCTTTCCAGAGTACTGTGAAGCAATGATATCAGTCTAGAGATAAGGTGTGCCTGATTCAGGCCATGGTCTTTGTAGTTAACATAGATTTTTCTTAATTTTGTTATTAAGATTAGGCAGTCTCAAAAAATGAGTTGGGAGGCTTTGTGCCTTTCCTCAACATTACTGTATGCTGTCTTGAACATTGTACTATAGTTTAAACCAATAATTATTAACTGGGGCTAAGTTCTGGCCCTTAAGAGGCATTTGGAAATAGGAAATTAGGAAATATTTTTCATTGTTACAGCTAGGGTAGGGCTGATCTGTTGACATTTTATGGTTAAAGGCTATACATGCTACTAAAGATCTACAGTGCACAATATAACAGTTTCTTGGCCCAAATTAACAATAATGCTAGTTTGGGATACTGGTTTAAATAAATATCTGAGTTTGATCTACTTTTGGGGATAGGTCTTTTTGTCTTTTTTATTCTGTATATTGGTTTGTTCAG